CAAAAAAAATGAGGAAATATTGGATTGAAATTCATGCAGAGATTAAAAAAAATCTTAAAATTAAATTCCCACTGAATCCAGAGACAATCCTACTGGGAATGATTCCAGATAACATGAAAAAAGACATCACAGGATATATGTTAACTGCAGCAAGAACACAGTTTGCATCTATTTGGAAAACAGTTGTCCAATGAAAGAAGCCTGGCCTGATAAACTAGCTAAATATGCTGTAATTGCAAAATTAACTAATCAAGTAAATAAAAGGCCAGTTAAAGAATTTCAGCAGAAACAAAGCATTTTATTCATATTATGGTAATATCTTGTAACTGATGATGTTCCTGATACCTGAGATAAAAAGCTGGCACCTCCTGAAAGTCAGGGAGAAGTTATTATATTATAGTCATTATTAATGCACATTATTCCTTTTTGATAGTATATATATATATATCTGTTTAAAAGAATTAAAATGATATTAAGTAAGCAATATGTAGATTTTTTTAATTTCTAGAAAATTTCTAGAAAAAAAGAGTTATGCTACTTTAAAATTACCTTATTAAATTATCTAAATTAAATTGTTAAAATTGTTAAAAATTGTGTGCTTTAAAAAACGTATTGCTATTTTGAGAAGTTTATGTGAATTGAGATTCTACTCCTGATCTATGTACCTATTACACTTATTCTATATATTAGAATCGTATCCTCAGTAAATATAAAATGTAAAAGCTTTTGATGAATAATGCTTGATTACTTTTTGTTACTCTTTCCCCCCTTTTGTTTCTTAATTGTATAATAAATAAAAATTATATATGTATGTGAATACACACACACACATATATAATATATAATTAGACACAGGGTTGTACTCACTAGTCTCTGATTGTTCCACTAGTATGTGTATAACTCATAGTCCTCCCATCATTGGTGGACTGCTGCTCTGGTGCCCATATTTTTCTGTTGCCTGCAAACATTTATGCATTCCCAGGCATTTGATCTGCTCCATTGGATTGACCTTCATTTTTGGTAAATGTAAACTTCCATGATTCCTTCTGCATTAAAAAAAACTGTCTGGCTGTCATTTTTTGAATATTTTGGGAAGAGCTGGAACCTAATTGCCAACAGCAAAAGGAGGCAGGGGACAACTGAATAGAAACACATTGCAATATGATGATATATATCCTAGAGATTATTTGTAATCTGTCTATCAGTACAGATAGGATTGCCAGCAGGGCTGGAGCAAAGTATTTTTCCCTTTAATCAAGGATTAATATGTGGAAATGGGCAGTTGAAGCGTCTCATGGCATGGAGGTAGAATAGCATCCCATTTGGCCTCTTTTATAGGGACAGGACATTTTTTCCCCTGCAGCAGTTGGCGACTATAGTTCAGGGCCATACAGTGGTACCACAGCCCACACATCCAAGCTAGACTACCATCCTTTTAAAGTCCTACCACTGGTTTTTTCCCAAAGTCATCAGTCCCTGTTTGGGGAATATAAAAGTTTAGTTGAGCATTGGATTTTGTTAGTTTAACACCTCTACCTTTCCTTAGAGCTGTCTCTTATCTTACAAAGTCCATGCCTGATGCAGTTTACTGAAATCACCTAACTTTTATAGTCTTGTTCAAATCCCATGATTAAAAAAAAAAAACACAACTAAATTTTCTTATCAAAAATAATTTGACTTGTATTGCAAATTTCTTTACTTTTGTGCTATGGGAAAGAACTAGCCCGCTCCTGAAAAGTATAAAATGTAGTACAGAAGAATGCTGGGATGTTACCCACCCCTTTCTGTATAGTCTGCATAATGCTATGGGAAAGAACTAGCCCGCTCCTGAAAAGTATAAAATGTAGTACAGAAGAATGCTGGGATGTTACCCACCCCTTTCTGTATAGTCTGCATAATGCTTTCCTCAGCCCCATATATAATTAGTAAGGCCAGGAGAGAGAGGCAAGGCACAGAATCTATTCATCATTCAAAGGTTTCTTGGGATGGAACACTTTAGGTCTTTCTGCTGCAATATCTCAGCAAGCTACCTTTTTAATGACTATCTAAATGCTGTCACTGCTTGTTCATGAACTCTTTCAGTAACATAACTGAAAAGCTGGAATTTATCATTTGGTAGTTCTGTGTTGGAAGATATGCTCATAATATTTGAGATTTTATCACTGAAAGTTCTTATTCTTTATTTGTTAGATCTTACATAGGCTATTACTCCAGCAGTTCCTGAGATGGGCTGCTTCTTCATGGTTCACATTCTGGACTGATTCATCCTAATCGTTAGGAATTCTGCCATTTTGTCAAGGCTTTCTCCTTTGTCATGTACATTCTTTCATCCTTTACATTACGTCGTTTGGGTACTGCTTTTCTGGGGGGTGGACTGGGAAACAACTGTTGTGTACACTGTTCTCCTTTTGAGTGAAAAATATGAGGAAGAATTTTTTTGTTAGAGCCGCTGGCAAACCAACTTCGACTAAGTGATAGTTTTGCAGGAATACCCATTAATCACAATATTTACAAAGTTAGTCTTTTCGCAGACGACTTAGTTGTGTATATTCATTGTCCTCAGCAATCCATTGAAGCTATTGAATCTATATTAGGAAAATTTGCTACAATTTCAGGCCTCCATGTAAATAACTCTAAAACTATTTTATACCCTATTAATTTGACTCCAGAATCCACTAAATATATAAGCTCACATTACCATTATCAATGGGTTCATAACTATTGGTCCTACTTAGGAATTAAAATTCCCAAGGATCTCACCAAATTATTTGCAATCAACTATATGGACACCATTACGAAAATTAAAACGCAACTTGAAATTTGGCACAATCAGAACCTTTCTTGGTTTAAAGGAATCCAAATCCTTAAAACCTTTGTATTCCCTAAGTTGTTGTACCTCTTTCGCACTCTTCCCTTGCCGATCCCCTCATCATATTTTATAAAGTGGCAATCATATTGGAGCAAGTTTATATGGGGTTACCGTAAATCTAGAATTAAACAACATACTTTGAGTAGGCCAACACGGATTGGAGGGCTCGCTCTCCCGGATATTAAGCTATACTATGAATCTTCTCTTTTATCGACGCTTGTCCGGATATTAAAATCTTCACCTCAACCTGAATGGGTTAAAATTGAGGAAATGTCATTAAATAATAAACAATTTGATATCGTTCTTTGGAATGCAAAACTACACAACCAACCGGGTATTGCCCAACATCCCTTCCTTCACTCACTGTTTAATGTATGGAAACGTAAACATAAACACCTAGTCTCTGATGTATCTCTAGCATCTACATACTTTGGTCAAGAATGGTTTCCTCCTGCCAAGGATCCTACGACCTTTTTGAGTTGGAAAAATGCCAATTTAACTACTCTATATGACTTAACTTTAAGACAAAAACTATTGGAAAAAACCAAATTGGATAAAATAACTAAATGTAATCTTCCCTGGTTGGAGTATACACAATTACGCCATTTATTTTTCCAACCGCAGATTCGACAGTCTTGCTCAAAGCCGCTTTCCATTTTTGAAAGATTGATAGTTCAGCCGCATATCAGAAACACGGGTCTGATCTCTAAAATTTATAATATATTAATTGATCCACAACCCCATAAATTGCCCACTTATTCAGCCGCATGGGCAAAGGATCTTCAAATGAGTTTAGACGATGAGTTTTGGGATAGAGTATGGACTTCATATGCCTCAAAATCTAAATCCATTAATATCAGACAACAAAACTTTAAAATTATTTCGCGCTGGTATTTGACTCCACTTAAATTAAATAAAATGAACAAATCAATCTCACCTTTGTGCTGGAAGAACTGCGGACACTTGGGGACTTATTTCCACTGTTGGTGGGACTGTCCGCTGATAACGACATTCTGGAAAGACATTATTCAGGAAATAACTCAACTAACTGGAATAGAGATACCGAGGTCGCCGGCAGTCATTTTACTGAATAATTGGTCAGATATCCAAATAACAACACATAACAAAGAATTACTCACCTTGTTGACTTCCGCTGCAAAAACAACCATAGCTTCGAATTGGAACAAAAATGTGAAACCTGAGCTACGGCAGTGGTATTCAAATATCTGGAATCATTTAATTATGGATAAAATTTCCAGTTCATTGGCCTATATAACATCTTCCAATTATTCGGATGCCTTTTACGGACGCTGGCGTCCCATCTTGGAGAAATTAGAGTTTATCCTGGAGAATGTCAGTAGTTCCCAAAAATCGCAATATTATTCTTTTATCAGTCAGACTTGGGCATTATGAATTACTATCATAACAATGTATCAATTTCAATTTTGTACACTGTGAAAAGTCCATTACTGAATGACTCTCTATTTTATTTCTTTGTTGATGTTGTTCGTTGAAAGTTATGTTTGGATTACTATATTGTATTGAAAACAATAAAAATTTTATTAAAAAAAAAAGAATTTTTTTGTTGTTCCTTAGCAAATAATGTAAAATCCTGTTTCATCTCTCACCTTTCTGCTTTTGTATGGGTGTTAGGTGGCTGATATTTCAATATACTGGTACAGTATTTCCACAACATGGCACCCATTGATGCCTGGACCCACCTGCTTCTGCCATTCTCTTGCTTCTTTCCTAAGGCAAAGAGCCAATCCTTACTTTCATTTACCACATTGGCGCAGAAGAACCCAGGTGTATGATAAGCATCTATTCAGAAATAGCTGCCCATGTCATAGAAGGATGCTTAGCATGGAACCTCCCAACATTTTGTGATTGCTTCCTCCAAAGCAGCCATTTTGTGGTGACTATGACTGTCATTTCTCAAAATTCCTGAAGTGCCCACAGGCTCAACAGGTTTAGGGACCCTTGTCCTAGTAGATTAGGCAGAGGTGCCAAGAATCTAATGTGTTTGAAATTGTTATTGAGATGTGGTTAAGGTTATCTTGGTTAAATATATTAGTCAATGACATGTCTCCTGGTTTGTGATGGTGTTAAATTCTAATGTTCTATTTCACAGGGTAAATCTTTCTTTATTGGGAATGAGGAATTTGACTTTGAGAGCCCTGTGGAACAGTCATCTGATGTAACTTTCTCCTTTAAAAGTCGAAAGGTACACATTAGATTCTTTTGATTTTTAAAAAATTATCACTTTTTTGCATTCTTACAGAAGAATTAATTATTGTGAGACTAAGCACTTTCATCACTACCCAGGTTGATTTTATGACTATAAAATCATAGAGGGCTTTTTTTCAACTTGAAGCTTATCTTACTGTCTTTCCTAAGATTAAAGTATTGTATAAGGGTAGTATAGTTTAGGTAATTGTGCATAGTATTACAAATTTTGATCTACAATAGCTATGTCCATCAACACACTATGTCTGTCTGTCTGTGTGTATGTCTAGTACCGCTCATACAGCTATCAACTTAAGCAGAAATTAGAACAATTTTTTTTTAAGACCTTACTCAGTATAATTTCTCTTATATTTGATTATTGTGCCTATGTATTTTGCCATGATACCTGGGTTTGCACATTAGCAATTCCATATCTTTAAGTAAAGGGGTGACTAAATTAGCTATCAACTCATCATTGAATGTAGGGCACTCCATAATCGTATGTTCGATGGTTTCAATTTTATCACATGAGCATCTGCATGTTCTGTTAAAGTATGATACTCTATTGTATCTGCTCTCCAAAACTGCCAAGGAAAGAATGTTCATTCTTGCCAAAGTAAAAGCTCTTCTTAGTTTTGGGACTGACAACTGATAAAAATATTTTGGCAGTTGCATCAGGAGGGCAATTCCCAAATGGAGTGTCAAACACACTATATATGGATGTTCCTTTGGGCTCCAAATCACAAAAAACTCTGTCTCCCTTTCTGTGATTTGTTTTCTGTGTCTATGTATAATGTATAATCTATGTAAAATAATGTTTGAAACTGAAGCTTGTTGACATTGATAAAGTTCATGAAAGGAACTGTGGACATTTGCTCTTGTTTGTAATCTTCAATTTTTTTTATGTTCATATTTATAGAATCAGCCAGGTATATAACTGTGCTTGGGACAAACCAGATATGTGACTCAATAGAGCAGTGTGCAAGGTCTCACTTTATTACACCTAAACCATCTTTGAGGGCAGGGGACTTTTAGCAAAGTCATTCATTTATGTGTCCTTGCACAATTTAAACTTTGTTTACATGAATATTTATTTTTCCCCTCATTCACATTTATTCTAAAAGGAAAACCTTGAAGTTCTACTTATTTTAAAAAACTGAATAAACGAACATTATTACTCCACTCTGTTCTTTTGAGGGACTGTTAATATGCTTATAAAATTTTGCTGCACATTGATCTGTTTGCTTTCTTTTCTGAAGTGTTGTTATAATATGGATCTGCTCAAAATAATCAAGGGGTCGGAGGCACAATAGAGATAGCTAATATTTTACTTGGGATGGCAAAAATAGAAGAGAACTTATTTTCCTTCACTCAGAATGCTAGAATTTACAGCCACCTGAAGTTGATGAGCAAATAGATTCAGGAGAGACAAAAGGAAGTACTGGGCCCCCAGTGAGCAATACAATTTAACTCATAGAGGAAAAGTCCATCAGTAGCCACTGTACTTAAATGTACCCAGGGCTGATGAGCAACAACAGAATGTTGATTTTGGTCTCTGTGCCCTGTTTCTGCCATGGCCACTGTATCAAACAGGGAGCTGAACTAGATGGACTATTGGTCTATCTGGCAGAGCTTTTCTTGATTTAGTAGGGGGCATTAGTCCCATGATGCAGCAGTCACAATAGGACCATAGTAGCTAGGCTCTTAATATCTGATAATTTGCAGTGTAGTCCCAAGAACACTTTCCTGAGAGTAAGCCCCACTGAAAAAACCTGAGTAAAATTCTAAGTAGAACTATTTGGGGTTGCTTTCTTCACACTTGATCTTAGCCAAAAGGCAGAGAAGCAATTGCTTTCTTAATCTGTAACAGATAACTTTTTTTTCCAGTTTCCCCATGCAAGTGAAACTCTGCCTCTTGATTTATACATTAGAACAAATCAGGTCAAGATTGACAGCAAGCTGATGGGTAAGTATGAGGTTAGAAATGAAATTGAAAATGAAATTTAAAAAGTTTATTTTATCAAAAATCTCAGTCTGGCACTTGTGCAGATTGATTTTAAGTATTGTGTATTATCAGATGTATCCTATCTCAAAACCCTAGCCTGGATAGCACAGGCTAGCCCGATTTCAGAAGCTAAACAAGGTGGGCCTTGGCTTGTATTTGGAAAGGCAACCTCCAAGGAATAATACCCTGCCAGATAATCTTAGGATCTCCTGGCCATACTATGCACAACGCATAATAGTAATAATCACTATCATAATATCTCAACAGTATGTAAATTATATTACTTTAAATAGGCTTTTTGCCCAGGAAAAGAACACATTATTACTTTGTGAGGTTCTGGCATCGGGCTGGAATTCAGGGCTATCTTCTTCTCCAGGGTTCCTTTAGCAGGGGTGGAAAATGGTCAGTAAAATCAGTAAAAGTCAGTTTTTTTATCTTGGTCATTAATTTCTCAGTTTTTTTAAAAAAATGGTCAGTAAAGTCATTATTTCTTTGTTTTCATGAATGCAATTTGTGGTTTTTTTGTTTTCGTTTCTGCATTTTGGGGGAAACATAATGACTTCCCAGCAGGGAGAGATTTTTTTTCAGTTCAGAGATAGTACAATGAGAGCAGAACTTATCTGGGTAATAAAAACAATTTCAGCTGACTTCACTTTTGAGCCATCTTGTGAACATGTTGGGGAAACTTTCCAGTTTATATTTCCAAATGCAGTGCCCCAACATTTTCTCCTCTCAAGGACAAAGGCACGGTATCTAACAACAGATGCGCTGGCTCCATACTTCAGAAAACAGTTGCTGAAGGTCTTTAATGGTGCATATTACACCTTGTGTTATGATGACATCACCAATGCAGCATCTTACAAAGAATTGCAGGTAGCTGTTAGATCTTCGTCGTGGTCTCTGTGCAGTCCCACACATGGGTTGAGCGCCTGCGCACGACCTCGACCGGAGAAACTCTGGAGCTTGCCTCAGACATCCTTTTTGGCGAGCTCTCTTTCCACCCTGGGGAGCAAGCATGCCTGGAGCGGGGGAGAGAGCCACCTCCCACTCAGTTCCTTTTTGACCACCTTCATGTTCACACCTTGCTAAACGTTGCTCTTCGATTTGCCTCAGCTGAGTATTTTGACCTTCAGTTCTCTTCTTCATTCTTATTTTGTTCTTCTTTTTCATCTTCTATTTAATCTCTAAAAAAGAAGAAGAAGGAAACTTTAACAGTTTTTCCTCACTTTCTTTCTTGTCCGTCCCCATCTCCTTTGGCGTTTGTATGGGAAAGAAAAAGTTTTTTAAGACGTGTGTCATTGCCCAGCTAAAATTCCATCTGACGACGGTCACAATCTTTGTCTATTGTGCTTAGGCGAAGCTCATCGGGTTGACTCCTGTCCCCACTGTGCCAACTTTACCCATCAGGCTAGAAGGAACAGAGTGGCCAGGCTTCGTACTGTTCCTTCTGGAAACTGTTTTGTGCCCGAACATGTCTTCAGCTGCTTCTCAATCTTCGCTTCACCAGAAGCAGGCAGAAAAAACAAAACCACCAAAGCATAAGCCAAAAAAGCATGACGATAAATTGGCGTCAAAATCGAAATCGAAACCTTCGACATCAGCTTCAGCCCCGAAGCTCAATCCCATGCTGATTTCTGGTCTATCGACCTGTACTCCTGTGGTGTCTTCACTTCCTCAAAAGGCCAATCTTCAGCCTCCGACACCACCACCTACTTTGTCTTCGCCCTCCGGCCGTATTCCGTTGGGCCAATCCTCGAGATCACCTTGCCAACCTTTGTCTCGCTGTGAGTCTTGATCTTCCTGTCACTCTCATATGCCTATCCACAATTTGGATGACAGGGAGCATTTTTTCAGGGGTCGATCCAGATCTAGGTCTCGTTATGACCGCAGATGGCATGATCGCCGACCTACCTGAGGGACCGCCTTTCCCCACACATACCCCCAAGAGCACTTCGGTCGGGGACACAACACTGCCTGGTGATTCCAGGCCCCCGGGAGGCAAAACTTGCTGCAACCAGGGCCAGATCCTTCTCAGTGGCGGCCCCCACCAGGTGAAACGAGCTCCCGGAGGAGATCAGGGCCCTATGGGACCGTATGCAGTTCTGCAGGGCCTGCAAGACGGAGCTCTTCTGCCAGGCTTTTATATAGGGGCCGCCACTACCACTACCACCACTACCATTACTACCACCATCAAGGGTGGAGAAAACAACGGGGTTAGGGGTGGTTCCCAGAAGAACTGCCACAATTTGCATGGCACTGATACTGCTGAACTGGCTTGGACCATCGACAGGGCAATATCACCCTAATGAAATGACCGATACCATCTTCGGAGACCATCTTGTTTGTATGGAGCACTTTATTCTGTTTTTGTTGTGATTTAATAGTTTTAATGTTTTATACTGTTTTTGTGTATGGGCTTGTGCCCTCATGTAAGCCGCCCTGAGCCCGTTTGCGGGGAGGGCAGGGTAGAAATGTTAATCATAAATAAATAAATAAATTCTCCTTTGAGATCGGTGTCTGATTATCAGTCGTGGTCCCCTGATGTCCGCTACCAGAGGCTGTACTATTCTCGTTTGTACTCCAGGTCTTCTACGCCTCGCTGAGATCGTTATGATCGATTCCGCCATCCTGAATGTCCCGAATGCCGACAAGTTCCTGCATACTCTAGACGTTTGCAACCTGTTGCGTCTGCTTGTTCTCTGGCGCTCGATCAGCCTCCAGAGCTCTCAAAATCTATGGATGCCCCGAAGAGTTCTCCCTTAGAATCTTGGTACCATCCACCTGCTGATGACCAGACGCCTATTGATGTCTCTCAACTGTTGCGATCACCTTCTCCTTTGTCTATCAGACCACTCAGACTCCAGTGATCTTGATTCCAATGTTATACGCATCGATGATGAGCCTTGTCGCTTGGGCTCTTTATCTCGTACCGAAGGCCCGGAGGCCTACTTGGAGTGGTGACGAGAATGGCTACTGCTGTCCAGGTCCAAGGGTCCACTGAGACACCCGCAGTGACTGATGTAGTTCACAAACTTGTTCAGGCTGACTTGCCACCATCTACAGTCCTGCCTCTGCTTCCTGTACACCTCTCTGCTCTCAAAGTATCGTGGGATCACCCTGCTTCTGTTTTCCCCAATCTCGAGGCGTTATGAGGGTCTCTATAAGATTCAAGAGTCCTCTGGGAAGTTCCTTTTTACTCAACCTCCACCGAATTCGATGGTTGTGCACTCCTCTTCGAAGTCTAAACAACCAGTCCAGCAATCCGTTCTGCCTGATTGCGAGGGCCGCAAGGTCAATGTTATTGCCAAGAAAATGTATTCGGTGGCTTCTATGAATATAAGAATTGATACCTGTTTATCATACCTTTCAGCCTACACCTTTAATGTTGCTACAGCCGTGTGTCCCGTTGTAGAATCGCTCCCAGAGGAGCACCGCCTTCCTTTGTCAGGAGCTTTATCCGAGATCTGTACGATCTCTAAGCAGCATATCAGTTCTATTCGTCATGCTGTCACCTGTTCGTCTAAGGTCCTGGTCTCTTCCATTGCTCTCCGTTGTCACGCTTGGCTTTGGAGCACCTCTCTTCAACCAGATGTTAAATTCCAGATTGAAGACCTCCCTTTTGATGGAGAGGGACTCTTCCACTCTACCACTGATGATGCTTTGAAGGCTGTTGATGATAGCCAAAAGCAGGCTCGAAACCTTGGAGTTTCTACCTCCACACCTCGACCCCAATACCGATCCTGGAGACCTTACTATAATAAGTGCCAGCCGTCTCCTGCCTCCACCTCTTGGTGGAGAAAGAGGCCTTATGATTCCCCCCAGTCTCATCGACCGCGTCAGCAGGCCCCTAGGAAGCCCCAGCAACCAAAGTAGTGCATTTGACCACTTCGATTGCCTGCCGTCGCCTCTCTCCTTTACCCCTCCAATTCGGACCCAACTCTTCCCCTTCCTTCCAACCTGGGAAGAAATTTCCACCAACTCCTGGGTCCTCACCATTGTACGGGTCGGGTACGCCATAGAGTTCGTTTCGCCTCTCGTCCTCCCTCACTTTGTCATAACACTTCTGGATCCCTCGCTCTCCCTGGAGATTTCAGCCCTTGTAGACAAGGGTGCCATCATCATCCCAGATGTGCAACAAACCCGAGGCTTCTACTCCAAGTATTTCCTAGTTCCAAAAAGAGACGGCGGCTTGCAGGCCATCATGGATCTTCGAGATCCATGCCACAAGTTTTGAATGGTGACTTTGCAATCCATTCTTTCTCTTCCCAAGTCTGGCTGGCTATCGTCCATAGATCTCCAGGACGCGTATTTTCATGTTACCATCCGCCCCCAACATCGGAAATTCCGATGTTTCACTGTGGGAAACACACATTACCAGTATCAAATCCTCCCGTTCAAACTTTGCACCGCCCCAAGGGTTTTTACAAAACTCATGGCGGCTGTGGTGGCAGACCTTCATTGTGGAGGGATTGCCCTTTACCCCTATATTGGCGATTGGCTTTTGGTTGCCCCTATGGAGGACCAGCTAGCCCGAGACGTCCACACGACCCTCTCTCTTCTTTCTGCCCTAGGGCTCTGTGTCAACCTATCCAAATCGACTCTCCGCCCTACCCAGGTCCTGCAGTTTTTGGGTGCCCGCCTCGATATGACCATTGAGACCACCTTTCTTCCAAACTCGAGAACCTTGGACATAATCTTATTGGTAGCTACATTCCAGACCTCTCCCCGACAATCTGCTCGGTCCATCATGAGGCTCCTGGGATATTTTGCCTCCACAGTCTTCGTTGTTCAGCACACCAGACTCAGGATGCGTCCTCTCCAACTTTGGCTTCTCCGTGCTTTCAATCCTCTCTGGAGTCCATGGAACGAGATCCTTTCAATCCCAACTCCAGTCATCGACTCCCTCTCCTGGTGGTCCCTTCCTCAGCATCTCCTCTCCAGCATGCCCTTTCGGCATCCTC